GGTTCCATATCTTAGCTATGGTAAATAATGCTGCAATAAACATAGTTGTGCTGGTAGCTTTAGTGTGGTCTTGTTTGTAAACATTTGGGTAAATGCCTAAAAGTGGGATTGCTGAGTCATAGGGGAGCTCTATGTGAAGTCTTTTGAGGAACCTCCATACTGTAAAGCCCTAATTTCTGTCTTAGTCCTAATATCCTAAGTTGCTCTGAGGATTCTTTACACGCATTAGAGGATACAAATACATTTTAGCATGAAATCATATCTTACTCTTTTTAAGATGCTTTGTATTATATCAGGGTTAATTAAAATATTTTATGACTAATAAAATGAATTTTTCTTCTTAATGACAACACTAATAAGTTATAAGAACTCTGCTTTTTTGATGTAATTATCAAGGGAATCAATTTGTTTCTCTTTAAAAAGCAGTTTGAGCTGGTTCAAATGAGTGGCTCACACGTGGAATCTTAGCTAATCAGGAGGCTGAAATCTGAGGACTGAAGTTTGAAGCCAGCCTGGGCAGAAAAGTCTCTTGAGACTCTTCTCTCCATTTAACTACCCAAAAAAGCCAGAAGTGGCGCTGTGGCTCAAGTGGTAGAGCTCTAGCCTTGAGCAAAAGAAGCTCAGGGATAGCACCCGGACTCTGAGTTCAAGTCCCAGGATCAGCACGTGCACGCACACACACGTGCGCGCGCACACACACACACACACAAGCCCCTCTTTGGATTGGAATATAGTGTGGACACAGGTGGAGATGCCACAATGCCACATTCTCCCTGCAGAATGAATATAAACTAATAAAACCAGTATCTCTTTAGCAATAGATATTGGTATACGTTGGGCTACAAGGAATGAACATGAGGGTAGAAAGAGGCAAAAAATGAGAAAAGTAAGACAAAATTTTTAAAGAAATGATATACAAGGGTGAGAAGAAACATGTGGAAGGAAAACTTGCAAAGCCTCATTGAATTGAACATGATCATTCCTTTGCCTCGGCTTTAAAATAGCCTGTGACCTTTTTCTCCCGAGGACCTTAAGGCGAGATCACGTGACTGAGTTTTATGGTGTTGTCTGGGTAATTTTAATTCCCCGAGACATAACAAAGTCTCACAGATTCTCATTTTTATATGACATGGGTAATGTGATACACAGGCTATTTCAAGGAAGAATTAAAACACTCTAGCAACCTTTCCTAACCCTGGCTGCACAATAAAAAAGGCAAGCAAGAATAAGGATAGAAACAAAAATGTAAAATTACTTAAAATACATCAGAGGAAGGTGAACTCTTATAACGTAAAAACCTCTTAAGTATATAGACCATTGTATCAATGAAGCATTACACCTGAGCCATAGGATAACAGGTACTTCATGAAATATAGTTTACTAGAAATCGGCGTATATACCCTGCTGGATATCAAGGCTTACACCTATAATGCTAACTGCAAAGAATGGAAGTTCAAAGTCAACCTGGCCAGGAAAGTCCAAGAAATTTGATCTCCAATGAATGATCAAGTAAAAAGTTGGACTGGAGGATGGCCCAGGTGATAGAGCACAGCCAAGTTATCAAGCCAAGTGAATCGGAGGCCCTAAGTTCAAGCCCTGTTACCACTAACAAAGGAAAAGAGAGTATATGTTCTGAAATAAGACTATTCTGGATTTGAGCTTGTCTCTGGCACTTTGCCCTGTTTCTGCATCATAGCTGAGATTCTCTTTGCACCAGTCATTGTGAGTGGTATGATGTATCTTCCATATTTCTAACTTATTGGAATGTTATGACTAGAGGATGATGAGCATCAAATAGATCTTGACACTCAGTAAATGTGTGTGCATGTGCACACTCACATGCTCTTGTGCACTGGTTCTGGGGCTTGAACTCAGGGACTGGGTACTGGCCCTGAGCAGTTTTGCTCAAGGCTCATGTGTTCTATCACTTGAGCCACAGTTCTAGTTCTAGTCTTTTGGTGGTTAACTGGAGATCAGATTCTCATGAACTTTCCTGCTTGGGCTGGCTTTCAACCATGATCCCCAGATCTCAGCCTCCCAAGTAGCTAGGATGACAGGCGTGAGCCACCAGTACCAGCTCCAGTAATTATTTATTATCAATTCCAATACTATCTCCCTAGATACCCTCTCTCCAAGATATATCTCCTTACCCCCCAAAACAAAAATATATTGAACAACAACAAAAATCCAATAATAATACTGAAGTTGACACCTGATAGCACTGACATAATTGCTCAAAAATATATTGAACAACAACAAAAATCCAATAATAATACTGAAGTTGACACCTGATAGCACTGACATAATTGCTCTTGTGTCTGTCGTCAATCTGGTAGACTTGTTTTCAGACTTAAGGAGGGTTTGGTCTCTTCTGCAGTTATAACTACATACACAATTCAGGGTAACTTATAAAGCAAAGAAAACCTATTTCTCCCACTTCTAGAGAGGTGAGAGTTTCAGATCAAAATCGACAGTAGGCGTAGTCATCTTCTCATGGGAAGAAGGCTTCAAACACACTGGAAGGAGGAAGGGCACGAGGCCAAATGCTGATGGAAGCTTTTTCCAGAAGACTCTTAAATCCAGGCCTGTAAAAGGAGTTCTCTTGAGCTAATCACCTCATAAAGGCCTTCACTTGAGTGAGGTGCTGGTCACACTGGCAAAGCCTGAATGTGGAGAAGATACCTTCAAACCACAACCATTTCTATGCTGTGAGTCATGAAACTGGCATCCCAGAAAACAGTGTAAGTTGAAAAATATCAAAAACCCATCCTTGGTTCAGCTATATGAAATGGATGGAGGAAGGAAACGCAGAAAAGGTAAAAAAAATAAGAGAGAAAGAGTAACACCACAGAAAAGGGGGAGAAGAAGCAATTGGCAGGAATATTATCAGATTTCATTTTGTTTTTTTTTAATACCATCATTTTTATTAAGAACGTTGGAAGAAGCCCAGCACTGACAGGTCACGCTTGTAATCCCAGCTATTCAAGAGGCTGAGCACTGAGGATTGCAATTTGAAGCCAGCCTGGGAAAGAAAATCTGTGAGACTCTTCCTCCCCCACAGTATAACCCCTGCTTTCACTATATTTGATGTCAGTATAACTTGTGGAGGAGATGGGGAAAAACAAGTCGTTTAAGGATACAGGTGGACCTGTTGCAACAATGAGAAGTACAAGTTGTCATGTTGAAAATGAGCTTTACAACATTGGGGGAGGGATTGGGTGGGGGGGAGGAGGGGGAAGCTGGGAAGGGATATGAAGGGTAAACAAAGGAGGAGGTTGCAATGCTTGATAAGAAATGTACGCATTATCTTGCCCATGTAATTGTAACCCCTCTGTACAGTATGTTCACAAAAAATAAATAAATAAAATAAAATGAAAAAAAAAGAAAATCTGTGAGACTCTTATCTCCAATTATTAACCACCTAAAAATCAGAAGTGGGGTTGTGGCTGAAGTGCTAGCCTTGCATTAAAGAAGCTCAGGAATATCACCCAGGCCCTGAGTTCAAGTCCCAGGACTGGCACAAAAAGAGAGAGAGAGAGAGAAGAAAAGAAAAAAGACCCAACTACTTTGGCCATTTAAAGTCAGGTACCAGATATGAGTGTGGGCAAGGAAGCCATGCAGAGGGAGAATCTGTCCCCACAGACAGGATACAGAGGTGATCTGTGCAAGCCAATCTGTAGGCTGAACCAAAGCCCTGACATAGAACCCTAATTAACACAACTCCCGCCATCTCTACCCACCAAGATAATTCCCGCTGAGGATCCAGTCGTTGAAAACAAAAGATCTTCTAATTCCTATCCTATTTGGCTGAAATTCTTGAAACAGAAATTGTGAACAGAATGATTTGCCCTTAGTTTTCAGAGATGCTTATTACACAGCAAAACATAACCATAACACATAACCGTGCATATAAATCGGAGGCAATTCAGGAGAGTTATCATGTTGTTTTGTTTTCTTTTTCCTCCATTAAGATCACTCTAAGGATTGACCAAAGCAGAGCAGAATCTCAGGTCACCAGGGTTTGCTCCCCCAATGAGTAGGAAATAAGTAGAGAATCACTTTTTTTTTTTTTGCAAAAGAACCAATCCGTTTGATATATCCTTACCAAAGCGAATTCGTGTGATATCCTTCCATCTGGGGGCAGTTTTGCTCCAAATCCCAGAGCTGGAAACATTTTATCACTGTCATAGTCTTGAACGATTTCCCCTACGGCCTTCAGGGCCATCCCGTAGGCATTCAGTTGGTAAGGGTTCATGTAGTGAAGAGAGGTGGGCTGGGCAGGGTTGCCTGAGGAGAGAAGATAGATTTCAAACATAAGCCACCAGGCTGCTGTAATCCTAGCTACTCAGGAGGCTGAAATCTGAGGATCATAGTTTGAGGCCAGTCCAGCGGAAAATTTTTGAGACTTTTATTCTCAATTATCCAGCAAAAAGCCAGATGTGGAGGTGTGGCAGAAGTGTGAGAGCACAAGCCTAGAGCAAAAATAGCTAAGCAAGATCGTGAGGTCCTGAGTTCAAGTCCCAGTACTGGTAAAGACAAAACAGCGTAAATAAGTAACTTATAAGTAACCAGGCTAAGGATATTTTTTTAACAACATTGCTCTTGATGTCTGTTTCAGAATGAAATATTCAAAACTTCTGCTTTTCTGACTGTGATTATAGTTCAAGTTTCTTTTTGGATGCATATTAACACATACATATTTATTACAATATATCAGGTATTAAGAAAGCTTTACAAAGAAATGCTAAAGCACAAGCAGGATCTTTCAGAAAGTATTCATTACTGCCAATGCTTCAGGCTATTTTTGAGTTTCAATTCTAGAAGAATCTTATTTTATTATAATGTTACCTTTTATAATTTAATCTTATTTTGTTAGTGTTAGAAGCAAACATGGGCCCTAAAGCTTGAATTCTTATGTTTATCATCAGAGGGTCCTACTGACTTCATGCTTTCAATAACTATGAGCTTTTCCTAAAGTCAAATCCCAAATAAATACAAATGGAGTACTACTCAAGAGCAATCCCAATTTATCACTTCAAAAAGAAAGTGTAGTGATTTTCCAATTAGAGATGATTAAGTATTGAGATTGGAAAGATTATTCAAGTTCTCTAACTAGTTATTAAGCAAGGAGTCAGAGGTCCAGAGGTAAAATTTACCATCTGCAGGAAAAACATCTGCAAAACAAATACTACTGGGAAGAAAAAAAATGAGATTGTGTACCAAAATGATTAAAAGCAGTAAAGCAGTCTGGCACCATTGGCTTATGCCTATAATCCTAGCTACTCAAGGAGGCTGAGCTCTGAGGATCCTAGTTCGAAACCAGCTGGGAAGAAAAGTCCTTGAGACTCTCATCTCCATTTAACCATCAAAAAGCTGGAAGTGGAGCTGTGGCCCAACTGGTAGAGTGCTAGTCTTGAGCAGGAGAGTGAAGGGAGCGCTCAAGGCCCTGAGTTCAAGTCCCAGTACTGGTGCACACACCAACATATTAATGTACATGCAACTGTAAACTTAACTGTTACTGTGGCTATTTTCTGAGTTATCTGCAAAGCTTCCTGTTTTCACAAAGTATTATTCTCTGCAGGATGTTGCATTTCCCTCATTAAGGGAAAATGTAAACTGTCCTGTTACTAACTCATATTGAGCTTCTGGCTGAGGTACTTTAATTATCAGGACAAGGGCAGACTGAAAGTCCATTTCATATCTTAAGTAAGAATGGAAGGTTGAATGGGAATGGTGGTAGCACACAAAACTGCCTAACTCCTTGTGTCTGCTCACCCTTGTCCTTCTTCTGTAGCTTCCAGAGACTCTATGAAGACTGACACTCTAGTAGGTTGTTACATCTGGGACACAACGAGTAGCAATAGTAACTCTAACAGGGCATCTACCATGTAGTTAAAATCTGACCTCCTATCTCACATAAGTCTTCCAACCAGTCTATGGCATGAGTTTATTATAAGCATATATAATGCGCTCCAAATCATACAATACACTGCTGGGAAAAATGAGGACATAAATCCACAGTCAGAGTCGATAGAGATACAATTCTTAGAGATACAATTGTGTGTGTGTGTGTGTGTGTGTGTGTATGTGTGTGTCTTTTCCAGTACTGGGTCTTGAACTCTGAGCTTGGGTGCTGTCCCTGAACTGCTTTTGCTCAAAGCTAATGCTATATCACTTGAGCCACAGATCTACTTCCTGCTTTGGCTGTGATTAATTGGAGATAAGAATCGCAGGCTTCCAGCCTTGGCTGTCTTCAAACTACAGTCCTCAGATTTCAGCAACTAGGATTACAGGTAGGAGCCATCAGCACCTGGTTTATGGCGTGTTTGTGTGTGTGTGTGTGTGTGTGTGTGTGTGTACGTATGTGTGTGTGTGTTTTAATTTATTTCAATATTTAATTTCTCAGCATTTTTTTCAGAATATTGTTTTCAGAGTGTAAGTTTTGTACTTCTTTTGTTAAATGTATTCCCAATCAGATTAGTCCTTTAGATATTATTGCAAATGAAGCTATCTTCTTACTTTGATTTTTTTTTTTTTGTTTTTCCCCTCACAGAGTTTCCTGCCTGGGCTGTCTTTGAACCACAATCCTCCGATTTCAGCCTCCTGAGTAGCTAGGACTACAGGTGTGAGCCACAAGCGCCTGGCTGGGTCTTTATTTTAAGCCAGTCAGACGTCATGACTTCTGTGTTTCATGTTTTACTGAACCACACACATGAGAAAAATCCTCCACTTGAATCCTAAAGGTTAAGAAATACATGTAAGATATATAAAAAGTTAGCTTAATTACAGAATCATATTCTCTGAAGTTTTGAACTCCAGAATGAAGAAGCCAGGATGTAGTGATTAGTGAAAGAGTTTTCTGATCTCAGTTTGCCCATTTGTATATGAGGAGGATGTGATTAGTGTTCTCTCCCTGGTGCTATCTTTATTAAACGTAGCCTTCTGTGAGATGTGAGTCACTGGGAAAGAAATGGGAGGTAAAGAGGTTAGAACGTGAGAGTTATGAGTACAATAAGTGATTTGGAAAAAAAAATCTGTATCGTCAACATGGGATGGGATACATCCTAATAAACAGTTGTAAATTGAAAATAATGTAAATCACACTATTTCACACACCTGAGCCAGATGACATACTGGGTTAGAAAGTCCACAGTGTACAGAGAAGAAGCCCACAAGGCTGCCTGGCAGGCAAGGCTGTTTGTTCCTGCCTCACTTCCCACAAGTATTTGGACAGCCATTATTAGCTCAAGAAAATACTACCATTAAAAAAAAGTTGAGGCTGGGAATGTGGCTGAGTGGTAGAGTGCTCGCCTTGCATGCATGAAGCCCTGGGTTTGATTCCTCAGCAGCACATACACAGAAAAAGCCAGAAGTAGTGCTATGGCTCAAGTGGTAGAGTGTTAGTCTTGAGCACAGAGAGGGCTCAGGGACAGTGCCCACTGGCCCTGGGTTCAAGCTCCAGGATTGACCAAAAAAACAACATGTTGAAGTATGGCTTCTGTTGAATGTGAATTGGTTTCCTGTCTTTGTAAAGTTGAAAAATTGTTATGTCAAACTATCATAATCCAGGGACTATCTTAGATAAATATAAACAAGAGGCAACTTTGGGTACAAGATAAATAAGAAGACAGGTGCTGGTGGCTCATGCTTGTAATCCTAGCTACTCAGGAGGCTGAGAGCTGAGGATCCTGGTTGAAAGCCAGTGTGGTCGGGGAAAGTCTGTGAGACATTCATCTTCAATTAACCACCAAAAAGCCAGATGTAGAGCTGTGGCATAAATGGTAGGGTGCTAGCCTTGAGTAACATTGCTCAGGGACATACACCAGGCCCTGTGTTCAAGCCCCAGGACAATCACACACACACACACACACACACACACACACACACACACAAAGATAAATAAGTTGGTTTGAGGCTGGAGGCATGAATCAACTGGTAGAGCACCTACCTAGCAACTCGGAGGTCCCAACTTTGAATCGCAGTACCACCAAAAAAAAAAAACACCAAATCAAACCAAAACAAAAGAAACTCCCAAAACTCACTGTCCTAGCAATTCAGAGGTCTTAACTTCAAATCCCAGTATCACTAAACGGTAATAAATGAGGTTTGTATTGATTAAGTTACATAATTACTGAAGTTTTACAGTAACTGTTGTTTTTGAGAGAACTAACTTTTCCTTCTTAAAATATTTGATAGGCAAATCATTACCATGCATATATAGACTGTTATGTCTCAAACCATCTAAATATGACCTTATGAATAATTCTGAAAAAAACTATATATTAACCCAGTTTTGTAAGATACACAGAGGGTTGGGTTACACACAGCAAAACTATATGAGGAGTATAATTAGACACACTTCAGAAGTACCAGGTATGGGGAAAAGAGAACGGCAAAGAATAGGGCAAGGGTAGACTATGGGCTTAATCAAATGTAAAATTTGCATTTTTTTGTGCAACTACTAGTGCCTGAATTCAGTGTTTCATGCTTTTGCTTGGCTTTTTTGTTCAAGTCCAGCACTCTAACATTGGAGCCACAACTCTCTTAGGAGTTTTTGCTGGTTAAATGGGATGGCCTTGAACCTCAACTCTCAGCCTCCCAAATAGCAAATCTGCATTTTTTAGAAAGAATATGTGAAGAAAATGACACTATTTGAAGATTAAAAAGTTCTACAATCTATTTTTTCTTCTTCTGATATTTGAACTACTTTATAAGACAACATAAGTGAAACATTATATGAATGTTTTATTTAAAAAAGCCTTTAGAAATCTGAAGAGAGAAAAAATATCTAAACCTCATTAAAAAAACAGGTATTTTTTACTTAATTGGTAATACTGCATAGAGGGAAGTGATCATAATACTCACCATTAGATGCTGTAAAATCAATAGCCACAGTAAAGTTGATTTGTGTTCTAGAATATAAGAAAAGGAGAATCATTACGACCTAAATTATCACATTAAGAGAAACTTATTTTCCATTAATGCTATGTTTTGTAGTGTCACTCATTTTCTTAAGTGAGCAAATCTGTCATAGTTGGATAGCATTGTGCAGAGAATTTTTCAAAGGTCAGAACCTAATTTCTTTGTAGTTACATCGTAGAAAATGGAAATATAAGGGTAGAATAAATTTGTATTTGAAGCCACTGCAATTAGGTGCTTTCTAATGAAGAAGTCAAAATGTAGGTAAGTATTAGCCAATACCTATTGTCAATATTTGTTATTCTATTTTATTCTAATTTGTGTTGGCAATAGGGTGTGAACTCAGGCCTAGGTGCTCTTACTTGGCTTTTTCCTCTCAAGACTAGTGCCACTTGAGCCACACCTTCACTTCCAGCTTTTTGCTGGCTCACTGGAGATAAATCTCATAGGCTTTCCTCCTCCAGCTAGCTTTGAACTATGATCCTTTGATCTCAGCCTCCTGGGTCGGTAGGCTTACACTCATGACTGAAAGCATTTGTTATTATTTTGCCTACTTTCTTTTTTTGCTAGTTATCATGAAATTGTTGCACTATAAAGGTTAGCATTGGTGAAAATCATTTCTAATAATGTCATTCCTTAAATTACAGTTTTCAACAGTCCATTTGATCTTATTTGCTGGAACCAGGGTTTTAAATCGAAGACTTTGCTTTGCTCAGCTTTGGGCTGCAAATCTAGCTTGTCTTGTGGCTGGCTATTTTGGAGTTGGAGTCATGCAGACATTTCTACCTAGGCTAGTCCTTAACTGTGATCCTCTGGACCTCATTTTCCTAAGCAGCAAAGATGTCCGGCTTGAGCCACACACACCCTGCTGAGTTTTTCACCATTTCTTAAAGGATTACCTGTACAAGGAATCATCACAGAAGTTCCAAGAGCATGAAAGAAGTGATTGCACTTATTGATTACTGAGAGAGAGAAAATGTGCGTTTAAATTTTTTAGCACTTCTTAGTCATGCAAATGATTTTACTGCATTAGATTTTCTTACACTGAGTTTAGTGTTTTGTTTGAAATCTTATTTTTTTTCTCTTGAAAACAAAGGAGCTGGCATTCATTTAAGAAAATTGCTGGTAAGACAAGATGCAAACATAAAGGGGATCCAAATAGAGAAAGATGAAGTAAAACTCTCCCTCTTTGCAGATGACACGATCTCGTATTTAAAAAACCCCATGGACTCCACTCCCAAGTTATGTGAGCTGATTGGAAATGTTGGCAAAGTAGCAGGGTATAAAATTAACCCTCAGAAATCAATGGCTTTCCTGTATGCCAATAATGAGAAGAGTGCGGCTGAAATCAGAAAGGCAATTCCTTTTATAATAGCCCCACAAAAAATAAAATACCTAAGACTAAACTTAACTAAAGAAATGAAGGACTTCTATGATGAAAATTTTAAAACCCTGAAAAAGGAAATTAAAGCAGAACTAAGGAAGTGGAAAAACCTCCCATACTCATGGATTGAAAAGATCAACATCATGAAAATGGCAATGCTGCCAAAGGCTATCTATCTACAAATTCAATGCCATACCTATCAATATCCCAACCTCACTCTTCAATGAAATAGAAGAAGCAATCCAGAAACTCATATGGAACAATAAAAGACCCTGAATAGCAAAACCAATCCTTAGCAGAAAGAACAGTGCTGGAGGAATATCAATACCAAATTTCAAAATCTACTACAACGCCATAGTAATCAAAACAGCTTGGTACTGGCACAAGAATAGACCTGAGGGGCTGGGAAGGTGGCTCAGTGGTAGAGCGGTTGCCTTGCATGCATGAGGCCCTGGGTTCAATTCCTCAGCACCACATAAGCAAAAAGAAAAAAGCTGGAAGTGCTGCTGTGGCTCAAGTGGTAGAGTGCTAGCCTTGAGCTGAAGAGCTGAGGGACAGCGCCCAGGCCCAGAGTTCAGGCCCCACGACTGGACCCAAATAAAATAACAAAAACAAAAAAAAAGAACAGACCTGAGGACCAATGGAATAGAACTGAAGACCCAGAAATGAACCCACAGACCTACTGTCACCTAATCTTCGATAAGGGAGCTAAAAAAAAATAGAATGGAAGAAAGACAGGCTTTTCAGCATATGGTTCTGGCAATACTGGTTAAACACTTGTAGAAAACTAAAGCTAGATCCACATATATCACCGTGCACCAGAATCAACTCCAAATCTATCACAGACCTCAGAGTCAAAGCAGACACTCTGAAAACATTACAGAAAGGAATAGGAGAAACTCTAGGGCTCTGTGCACAGGCTGAAATTTTCTTAATAAAGACCTAGAAGCACAACAAATCAAACAAAGGTTGGACAAATGAGATTGCATGAAACTGCAGAACTTCTGCATAGCAAAGGACACAACTAGAAGATCAACAGAAAACCTGTCATGGATTGGGAGAAGAACTTCACTAGCCATACAACAAACAAGGATCTCATATCTAAAATATACTTAGAACTCAAAAAATTAAATCCCCCAACAACAAATCTTCAAAGAAACAACTGCCCGATTAATAAGTGGGCTAAAGATTTAGAGAGACTTCTCTGAAGAGGAAATAAGAATGGCCAATAGATACATGAAGAAATGCTCAACCACCCTAGCCATAAAAGAAATGCAGATCAAGACAACATTGAGATTCCAACTCCCCCCAGTTAGAATGGCTAAAATCAAGAACTCTAATAACAACAGATGCTGGAGGAGATGTGGCCAGAAGGGAACCCTACTGCATTGTTGGTGGGAGTGTAAACTTGTTCAACCACTTTGGAAAGCAGTATGGAGGTTCCTCAAAAGACTCTACGTAGAGCTCCCCTATGACCCAGCAATCCCACTTTAGGCCATTTATCCATAGGATCATAAACAAGGCCATACTAAAGCTACCATCACAACTATGTTTACTGCAGCATTATTCACTATAGCTAAGATATGGAACCAAGCCAGATGCCTCTCAGTAGATAAATGGATCAAGAAAATGTGATATGTATTTATATATATATGTAACATATATATATACATATATATGTATATAATGGAATGATATGCCTCCATCAGAAAGAATGACACCACCCCATTTGTTATGAAATGGAAAGACCTGGAAACAATTACATTAAGTAACGTAAGCCAGGCCCAAAGACACGTAGGTCCCATGGTTTCCCTTATCTGCAATAACTAGTACATGTCTAGGACAAGCAGGAAAGGTCAAAAGCTATGTACATGGAAGTGGCGCTGTGGCTCAAGCGGTAGAGCACTCACCTTGAGCTGAAGAGCACAGGGACAGCACCCAAGCCCAGAGTTCAAGCCTCACAACCAACAACAACAACAAAATGTCAAATGTATATATAACCATATAAGATGATGCTAAGCGAAATGAACAATGTACTATGTGATATCTTGTTTCTTTTGTATGACCTTACCCCATGGTATAACCCCTGTTTTCACTGTATTTGATTCTGGTGCCCTGCATCTTGTATATACACTTTTCTAATTCGGGGAGGGGGAAGGAAATAACAAAATGCTGAAACAAGGATCCAGGTTGACCCATTGTAACAATGAGATGTACAAGACCCTATGTTATAAAGGAACTTTAAAACTTTGGTGGGGGAGAGGGAAGAGTTGGGGAGGTGGGGAGGAAAGGGATGGTTGGGGAAAGACAAAGGAGGGGGTAACAATGCTCGATAGGAAATGTACTCATTACCTTACTCATGTAACTGTAACCTCTCTGTACAGTATCTTTACAATAAAATATATACTTAAAAAAGCAAACTTGCTGTAGATACTTATATTCTTTATTCCATGTCATTCTTTTTCCTCAAGAAAGATATAAAAACCATAAATAATTGACAGTGGCATAATTCTTGCAATAACCCTTAACTATATATCATTATTCAAAATTCCTACTGAGTAAGTCATTTGAAAACATGAGTACCTAGACTAGAAGTTCTAGAAGTTTCTGGATTCTTTGTTTTTGGTGCTAGTCCTGAGGCTTGAAGTCAGGGCTTCAGACTTTCTTGGCTTCTTTTCCCATGTCTGGTGCTCTACCACTTGAGCCATAGCTCCATTTCTGTTTTTTTTTTTAGTGGTTAACTGAAGATAAAGAGTCTCACAGACATTTCTTCCCAGATCCTCATGAACCCAGCTTCCTGATTAGCTAGGATTACAGGCATGAGCTACCAGTTCCAAGTTTAATAAAAAAAAAATGATGTTTGATAAACAGAACAGTAGAGTTCAGACCTGATTGGAACTGCTAGACAAATGATAGTGATGATAGGACTGGCTATCTTTTCTTGCCAAAAAGAATAATCATGTCTCCTTTCTTCTCCAAATGTCATTCTAAAAAGACCTAAATGCTATTCGGGATTGAATCAAATTCACACATTTTTCCTCCCTAAAGAGTGAAAATTTTGTGCATATATTTAACAAAATTTAATGTAGATTCCCATTATAGCTATGTAGCAACTTTGCATTTTTCTCAGAGTAGAAATCAGGTTAATAGGCTAAGATATTAACTAATTCAGAGCACAGTCCTAAACCACCACAGACTATAATAAGTAAAAACTTTTAGAAAATGAAGAGTTATGCATTCAAGAGACTATTTCCATACAAACCCATTTGAGAGACTGAAAAGAACAGTTTATTCTGCTGTCAATTAGCAAAGAACCAGAATTTCAATTTAAGTAATCTAGAGGCTTGAGGAAAAAACATGAGCCAGTTGCTGGTGGCTCATGCCTTTAATCCTAGCTCCTCAGGAGGCTGAGGTCTGAGGATTGACGTTCAACAAAAGCCAAGTCAGGAAAAGTCCATTAAACTCTTATTTCCAATTAAAGAGCAAAAAGCCAGAAATGAAGCTGTGGCTCAACTGGTAGAGCACCAGCCTTAAGTGAAAAAGCCCAGTGAGAGTGCAAAGCTCTGAGTTTAAGCCCCAGAAATGGCATTTTAAGAAAAGAAAGAAAGA